ATCCATGGATTTGCAGAATGCCTTATCCACCATCTTGGTATCCCACAAAGCTTTGCCTCAGATCAAGGAACTCTTCTGAACTTCTGTGAAGTACAGAAGATGAAGTGCGGTGGTGGGTCCACTCTCATGGAACTCACTAGTCTTCCCATAATCCTCATCCTGAAGTAGCTGGCTTTATAGAACGATGGAATGGCCTTCTGAAGACACACTGTGCTGCCAGCTACGTGGCAGTGCCTTTCAGGGTTTTCTCCAGGAGGCTGCCTGTGCTCTGAAACAGTGTCCAGTACAGTGTCCAGTATATGGTGCTATTTCCTCAATGGACAGGGTTCATGAGTCCAGGAACCAAGGGGTGGAAATTTTAGTGGAGTCACTCACTATTGCCTCTAGAGACCCACTCAAAAATTTTTTGCTTCCAGTCCCTATGACCCTGTGCTCTGTAGATCTGGAGGTCTTAGTCCCAAAGGGTGGAATACTTCCACTTGGGGACACAATACTGATTCCATTGAACTGGAAGTTAAGAATACCACCTGGCCATTTTGGACTCCTCAGGCCTCTGGATCAACAGGCAAAGACAGGAGTTACGCATTATCTTATTTGATTGATCCTGATTACCAAGGGGAAATTCGACTGACTTACATAGTGGAGATGAAGAAAAGAGTATGTCTGGAATACAGGAGTTCCTTAGCCCTACTCTCATAGTGGTACCATGTCCTGTGATTGTAATCAGTGGAAAATTACAGAAACCCAATTCTGACATGAGTACTAATGGCCCAGATCCTTCAAAAACGAAGTTTTGGGTCACTCCACCAGGCAAAGAACCACAACAATCAGAGGTGGTTGCTGAAGGCAAAGGGAATACACAATGGGTGGTAGAAGAAGGTAGTTCTAAATATCTACCCACAGCTATGACCATGTGACTAGCTGCAGAAACAAAGGCTGTGATTTTTGTATTTCTTCCTTGTATATGTACATCAGATACTTTGGTTTTCTTCACTTATGTAAGATGTAAATGGGGCTAATGTGTTTTGGTTGTACTCGTGTTAGTTGTATCATGCTAGGTGCAAATAGGACTTTATACTTGTCTTTATTTAGAGATTATGTATGGTTTAAGAAAATATGTACAGGTTGATGGGGGTGGAATGTGATGGCTGAGGCTGGGCTATGATTCTCAGTGTTTTGACAGTTAGGATCTAGTCATTCCCCATGATGAGATCTGATATAATGTAATCATCTTTATGATGCGATCTATTATGAGTAGCCAGTTAGTCGAAAAGGAATTTCCTGAGTGTGGCCTGCTTTCAATATAGGGATGTTCAGCAAGCTGTCTTTTTTGGTCAATCTGGATCCCACCTCTGACTCATCATCATCTGACCTCTGAGTATTTGGACTTGAACCATCAGCCTGACATACTGCCTGTCAGTCATGGTATCCCTGCCTTTGCTGCCTGTGAGCTAGCAGCCTGCCATCTTACCTGCTGATCTTGGGTTCATCAGCCCCTGCACCATGCGTTAGGAGAAGTCTCCAGGCTTCCTAATATGTTAAGACTTAAGCCTATAAGTCAATACAAAAAGGCAGCCCAGTTTAAAATGGGCAAAATACATAAATAAGCAATTCACAGAATACAAAATATCAATAAACAAAAAGGTAATTAATCTATCAATAGGGTTGTTGTTGTTGTTGTTATTTGCTGTCAAGTCGGCCCCGACTCATAGCGACCCCTCCTTGGGTTTCCGAGGCAGTATCACTTCGGAAGTAGGATTGCCCAACCTTCCTTCCGAGGAGTATATGGCTGGTGGGTTTGAACTGCCAGCCTTCTGGTTAGCAGTCAAGTGCCTTAGGCAAAATATTTATTATTATTTTTTTAAAGGACAAATACCAAGTATTTGCCAAGGGGAGTAAAGGAACAGAGAAATACATACCCATATGCATTTCCAGGAATCATATAAATTTGTTTGCCCCTTTTCTGGAAGACTTTTAACAAAAGGAAGAAAGGTCTGGTGTTCTATGAAAAAATAGCCATTGAAAACTCTACAGAGCCCAGTTCTGCTCTGACATTCATAGGGCCACCAGGAGTCGGAATCAATTCGACAGCAGCTGGAACTGGAATTTGGCAATAACTGCAACCTTTTAAATGTGGGTAATCTGTGATCCCACAGGTTTACTTCTAGGAATTCATTTTAGGTAAGTACTTGCACAAGTGTCAAATAGTAAATGTCCAGTGATGGAAAATAAAAATAACTCAAGTGTCCATTAGGAGCTCTGGTAGCATAGTGCCTAAAGCACTTGACTGCTAACCAGAAGGCTGGCGGTTCAAACCCACCAGCCACTCCTTGGGAAGGCTGGGCAATCTACTTCCGTAGTGATACTGCCTCGGAAACCCAAGGAGGGGTTGCTATGAGTCAGCTCCAACTCAACGACAGTGAGTGAGTTATGAAGGAGCTCTGGTGGCATAGTGGGTAAGGCATTTGGCTGCTAACCAGAAGGGTGGTGTTTCAAACCCACCAGCTGCTCCATGGGAGGAAGATGAAGCAATCTACTTCCGTAAAGATTTACAGCTTTGGAAACCCAGTGGGGGTCACTGAGTTGGAATTGACTTGATGGTAGTGGGTTGTTGGTTTTTTTTTTTTTTTTTTTTGGTTATATGGTTTTCAGGAGCCGTGGTGGCACAGTGGTTAAAGCAGTCACCTGCTAACCAATGTTGGTGGTTCGAACCCCGCAGCTGCTCCATGGGAAAAAGATGAGCAGTCTGCTTGTGTAAAGATTGACGACTTGGAAATCATATATGATTGCTGAGTCAGAACTGACTTGATGGCAGTGGGTCTTTACATGGCTTTTATTTTTCTATTTGAAACTTCCAACAGTTAAAAATAGGATATAGGCTGCAGAGAAAAAGAAAACTAGAATGGAATACACCCCCAAAATGGCTAGTGGGTCTCTCTGGGCATTGGGATCTTGGGGAATTGTCGATAGCTTTCTAATTGTCCTTCTCAGTGAGCATGTTATTACAGTGAAGCTTGTGAGAGCAGGAACTTGCAGGGATGGCCTTGTTTTTCTGCGTCTCGCAAGTTTTCTGTGACAGTCTTACCACTTTCCTCTCACTCGTTTCAGTGGAAAATAAATTTTTGAGTTTTTTCTCACTGACAGGTTTCCATCTTATGCAGGTTCCTAGCTTTTGCAGATTTTACTGTATAAGTTGCTCCTGTTATGAAAGTACCAATGTATTATTTTCACAACTAAAAAATTAGTGTGTTTCAAAAATGTGAGGAAAGAGAAACCTCCCATTGGCCACGAATAAAATTAGATTAAAATGATGTTTAATTGGGCAGTAGCTTTGTAATTTGGAAATAGAGAGAAACAATGTGACATTTAAAAAAAAATGGTAAATATTATATGAATGATCAGAATTCCCAGGTGTGTAGTAGAGCTGACAAGGGGCAAGGTTGTGGTCACTGCTTGGTCACAGCCAGCTACCCAGAGGGACCGAGTAGTTGAACCTGTGGGCTTGGGACCATAGTCGCAGGGGACATCAAGCTCAATTGGCATAACATACTATACAAAACATTGTTCCACCTCCTACTTTGGCGAGTAGCGAATGGGATCTTAAAAGCTAGCAAGCTGCCATCTAGATGCAACGATGGGTCTCTCCTCGTCCAGAGCAAAGAAGAATGAAGAAAACCAAAATTCATGGAAACAATTAGTCCTAGCAACTGGTACACCATCCGATCTGCACCCTATACAACTACGAGACCAGACTAACTAGATGGTGCCCGGCTACCACTGTCATCCACTTGGAAGGGGATCTATGTAGGAGATCCTTGATAGAGAGGGATAACAATGTGGAACAAAACTCAAAATCATTTGGAGGGAAAAAAAAAGGGTGGGGGACCAGGTTTGATGGTCTGATATAGCCTGGTGGAACCACTGAGACTGTGGCCCCTAGCTGCCCTTCAGGTCTGGAATTGAACCCACACCTGTGGTTTCCAGCCAAACAAAACACAGGCATATGAGCTGAACATTTACCTAAAGTAGATACTCTGCTTGGAGAGAACACTCATGGGAGAAAGAAGGGCTGATTATGCACAGGGAGACAGCTCAGGGTGCAGGAGTGCATGGAGAGATGGACACAGGGAAGAGGTAACTATGGGGAGGAAGTGGGAGGGGAGCTGTTGCATTGTGGTAAACTGTGGTCAATGTCGTGAGACAAAGTATATGTGAACTGCTGTATGGAAAGTGAATTTGCTCTGTAAATCTTCACCCAAATCACAATAAAAAAATGATAATTATGTCAAAGATATTTAGTGTTTAAGCCAAATGCAAATTATGAAATTTGTAGCTTAAAATCTTAAAGGAAACTACAATCTTCTAGCATTTATTCTTAGCTACCTATATTTGTGATTTTTTTTACTCTAGAGGATTACTCTGTATAGCTTCTTCTTTTCCCTTGAGTATTCAAGCTCCAACTTAATGAATAATAATTTTAAAAGCTCAGTGATAGCTGTTCTTATTAAAGATCTCAGATGAGGTTGCATCTGATTTAGCACATTCCCTAACCAAACTGCTATCTGAAAATATTGTAGGACTGAGGAAGTACATGGGTGGAAGCCCCACCATGATCAGAAGCTTTCCCAACTGCTGGTATAATGTGTCATCCTCCCTGTAGGAAATTTAAATATATATAGTTTCAGAGTTCTTCTCTCAGGAGAAGTCACTAGTGCTGATGAAGGCTGAACTTAATGGAACAGCAAAACTGCCAGTTCATTACATACTCAGGTTGCATTTCTAGTCGGCATGAATTCTCTGATATTCATTACATACTCAGGTTGCATTTCTAGTCGGCATGAATTCTCTGATATTCAGCCAGTTGTGTGCTGCAGGCAAGGCTTGGTCAAAATCAGCACAAGCAAAGGCTTTGCGCCCAGTGTGATGTCTTTGATGCTCAGTAAGGTGTGAACTCCAGCTGAAACCTTCTCCACATTCTTTGCATGCATAGCGTTTGCTACCAGTGTGAACCTTCTGATGCTGAATGAGGTGTGAAATCTGTGTGTAGGTTTTCCCACAGTCATTGCACTTGTAGGGTTTCTCTCCAGTATGAATTCTTTGATGCTGAATAAGGTGGATACTCTGATTGAAGGCTTTCCCACATTCCTTACAGGCATAGGGTTTCTCACCAGTGTGAATCCTCTGATGTTGAGTGAGGGATGAGTTGTGACTGAATGTCTTCCCACACTCCTTACACTTATAGGGTTTCTCACCTGTGTGGATTTTCTGATGCTCAATCAGGTGGGTGCTCCGGCTGAAGGCTTTCCCACACTCCCCACATTCGTATGGCTTCTCTCCAGTGTGAACCCTCTGGTGCTGAATGAGGTGTGAAATCTGAGTGTATGCCTTTCTGCAGACTGTACACTCATAGGGCTTCTCCCCAGTGTGAATCCTCTGGTGGCGTGTGAGGGAAGAGTTCTGGCTGAAGGTTTTCCCACATTCATTGCACTTGTAGGGCTTCTCACCAGTGTGAATTGTTTGGTGTTGTGTAAAAGATGAGGTGTGACTAAATGCCTTCCCACACTCATTACATATGTAGGGTTTCTCCCCCATGTGAACACTCTGGTGCCTCATGAGGTGGGAAATCTGTGTGTAAGCCTTCCCACACTCGTTACACTCATAGGGCTTCTCACCAGTGTGAATTCTCTGATGCTGAGTCAGCGAAGAACTGTGGCTGAAGGCTTTGCCACAGCTGGAGCATTCATAAGGTTTCTCTCCAGTGTGAACTCGCTGGTGCTGAGTCAGGGAGGAACTGTGGCTGAACGTTTTTCCACATTCGTTACATTTATATGGTTTCTCCCCTGTGTGGATTGTCTGGTGTTGGGTCAGGGAGGAAGTGTGGCAGAAGGCCTTCCCGCACTCACTACACTTGTAGGGCTTCTCCCCCGTATGGATTTTCTGGTGGCGCGTGAGGTGGGAAACCTGTGAGTAGAACTTCCCACACTGGTTGCATTTATAGGGTTTCTCCCCAGTATGACAACGCTGGTGTTTGATGAGGGAGGAGCTCTGGGTGAAGGCCTTCCCACACTCCTTGCATTTGTAGGGTTTCTCTCCAGTGTGAATCCTCTGATGTTCAGTGAGCGACGAGCTCTGGGTGAAGGTCTTGCCACATTCGCTGCATGCATAGGGCTTCTCTCCAGTGTGAATGATATGGTGCTGGATGAAATAGGAGCTGTTGCTAAACGTCTTCCCACAATCATTACACTTGTAGGGTTTCTCTCCAGTGTGAACTCTCTGATGCAAAATATAGTCTGAATGGTAAGTGAAGGCTTTCCCACATCCCGTGCAGTGAAATACTTTCTTCTCTATGAATGTCCTTTGGCGTTTCAAGCTCTTTCTTGGCCTGTGCCACTTGAGGGGTCTCTCTCCACCCACTATTCTTTGCTTCCTGACGAAGGCTGAAGTCAGCCGGAGGCTTCTCCCAAGCTCAGTGCAACCCAAGCCTCTCTCCCCAGAGGCCATTTCCTTGGGAGCAGCAAACAAACACCTCAAAGGCTTCTCCTGGTTCCCCTGGTCCTCCAACCAGTGGTGATATGCCCATGATTCTCCCAACTTGAGATCTCCAAACATGTGCCCCACAGTTCCATGCATCTTTCCTAACGAGGCTATTGACTCTTCAGAAACGCTCTCTTTTAGTGGTATTTCTTGAATAGACACAGAATTTGTCTCCAAGTCTGAAAGAAAAAAAAAAAAAAGGAAAATGTGAATACCAACTGTACCAGGAGAAAGGAACCTGATTATTTGAAACTTGCATCATAAACTTAAAAAAAGAGTAGGATTTCAAGTTTATGTTGCTGTTTTAGGGGGGAAAGGAAGTTTTTGCTTAGGGGGTATTGAATTTATATTGATGGTGGTGGAGTGATTTGGAAAAGGATAGCAAGAATGGATGGTTGTACAACTTGAAGATTGTAAGACTGTTACTGAATTGTACACGTAGAAATTGCTGAGATGGTTTATGTTCTGTTATGTATAATTTGCTCCACAATAAACTAAAAAAATTTTTTTTAAAGTTTATTTTCGAAAGACAGGCATATGAGCTGAACATTTACATTAGGTAGATACACCCCTTGGAGAGAACAATCATGGGAAGATAGAAGGGCTGTGTATGCACAGGGAGACAGCTCAGGGGGCAGGAGTGCATGGAGGGAAGGACACAGGGAAGAGTTAACTATGGGGAGGAAGTTGGGGGGGAGCTGTTGCCTTGTGGGAAATTACAGTCAATGTTATGAGACAAAGTGTATGTGAACTGCTGTGTGGAAAGTGAATTTGCTCTGTAAGATTTCACCCAGATCACAGTAAAAAATTTTTAAACCACTGTTTATCTTGCTGTTGGTGGTGAAATGAATTTCTTTGGCCTTTTGCCTTGGTTCTTTGGAAACACAGGTTGGGGGATTTTCCTTCTAAACCCTGAGGGGTTGCCTTTGCTGTGGTTCTTTGGAGAAGCAACTGGGTGAGAGGGTTCCAGGTTGTTTTATACCCCAGAGGGTTCGTTACTTCTGTCCAAGTTGATTGAGATCACCTGGGCAAGCTGTAAACAACTTGATAGTTTGATAAGTTTTGTCTAGCCCTAAGCTTCAGTCTGCCCTGTAATTGATCTGTTTTACACACCTTGCAGGGATTGGTAGGTTGACTATGCAAAGTGAGTGACCTGTCATCCACTGAGGGGATTGGTCAGTATGTGGTCTTGCTGGGAGGGCCATGCCTTGAAATTGAAAAGGAATTTGCTTACATAGCAGCCAAACCCACAGAGGTGTTTGAGAAGCAAGCAGAGCAAAGCAGCAGAGAGAGAGGAGGCAAAGACCCTCCTAAAAGTGTTGTAATACAGGTCCGTGGTTGTAACACTGTCTTAGGAACCACGAGCCTCTGGTTAGCAGTCACATCCCTTAGGCACTGTGCTACCAGAGCTCCTTCTTAGTTCTCTAGTGCTACTTATAACAGATACGACAAGTGAATAGCTTCAACAAACAGTACTGTATTCTGTCACAGTTGAGGAGGCTAGAAGTCCAAGCTCAGAGCACTGGCTCTGCGGGAAGCCTTGCTCTCTTTGTCTCTCTTGGTACTTGGAGGATCCCAGCACAGGGACCTTGGGTCCAATGGACACAGTCCACTCTCAGCTCTTCTTTCTTGGTGGCGGTAGGTCCTGCCTCCTGCTCCTCCTCTCTCCTTTCATTTCTTGTAAGACAAAGGATGTAGCAGGCCACACCCCCAGAGCACTCCCCTTATACCGGATCAGGGTTTATGGGTGTTGCATTCCACCCTGATCCTCTTATGCCCAATTGGCTTCTCACATCACATCACATCCTTGGGGATTATTACAAAACTCCCATGTCATGGCTGCCAGACCACTGAGAATCACGGCCCAGGCAAGTTGACACATATGTGGGGAAGACAATTCAATCCATGACAAGCACTGAAGTCAGCAACAGGCTTGGAAGGGGCCCAGTGGCAGTGACAGGCCCAGAAGGAGGCCTGTGGCAGAGATGGTGCCAGAAGGCAGAAAGCTACTGCTAGGAAGGCAGCTCAGGGAGCTGACCAAGGTGCTGCACTGGCTCTGAGCTGGGACAGTTCGCAGTTGGGAGGCTGAAGACAGAGAGGGCTCCGTGGCCAAGAGGGTCCATGCACAGCTGAGAGAAGGGCCTGCTAGCATGGCTGAGAGGACGTCTACCAAGCCAAGAGGGGGTGTGCACAGCCGACAAGGCCTTGCCTGCTTGCATGGCCGAGAAGGCCCTGAGGGTGCTGTCTTCGCTGGAAGCCGTCCTGTGCCAAAGATGGGATGTGCTCGTTACCTTGGGAGAGCCTTCCAGGCCTCGCCTCTCTGCTTCATGATCCTGAGCTGTTCATATTACTTTCATATTGTTGTTCATATTACTTTTTGATCCTGATCCAAAGTTATAGCCTGTTACTTTGCTAATAGACCACTTAACTGTGAATATGGTCTGTGAATTCTGTGTGGTCACTGCCATGAATGATCAGTTCCAGCAGAGAAGCAGAGAGTTGCTGTGGGGAGGATGGCTGGAATCAGGAATGAAGAAGTGGGAGAGTGGGGTGTGTCTGACCCCCGCCCTCATAGGAACCAGCTTTGTGCTGATCCTGGTGCTGATCCCTCAGGAGTCTAGGAGCATTCAGACACCAGAGCCTGTTGTTCAGAAAGGTATCAGGTACACGGATTCACATTCTGACGTAGAATGATGGCCTCGGTGTATTTTAAAAATGAAAAGAACCAAGTTGGAAAATAGTTTAGGTGATCAGAGGTTTACTAACCATAATACTATATGATAATTGATATATAATATATAATAATATATAATAATTTTTACAAACTGATACCAAAAAAGAGCCAATCTGATAAAAATAGTGAAGCAAGACTATGAGTCAACAATTCACAGAAGAAAAACAAGTGGCTGATGAGTACATGAAGATATGCTCAACATCAGTAATAGTCCAGAAAATCAAGTCACTAAGACACCATCTTACACTTTTCAGATTGACAATTGTTAAAAATATTCCTAATATCCAAGGTTGGCAAGTGAGTGGGATAGAGGTATTCTCACAGCTTCTTGGTGGGAGTGTGCCAGGAAAGGGTTGACACAGGTCTGTTCCACTCAGTTCTTGTTTATCTCTGTGACCATGGCAGTGACCCTTGGCCAAAGGTGGAGAACTAAACTCCTACAATGTTCTAGAAGTTACTGGTTAGTGACGTTACTCTGTATGCTGCTAGGCATAGTGTTTAATGTAAACAGGAAGACTTATAATGTGCACCTGATGCCTGGTTTGGGGTCTATACCGTGTCTGCTCCCATAGCAGGTATGTGCCTACATGACCAGCTTTCTTTAAGATCCCTGGACTCCAAGACTCAAGTGTGCTTTCCTCAAGTCAGGGCAATAAAAATTTTCTAAAGTTCTTTGTGGTGTTAGATACACAGTTTGATGAACATACTAAAACCCATTGAACTATATATTGTAAATGTGTGAATTTATAGTAAGTTAATTATATCTCAATAAAGTTGCTAAGAAACATAAGGTTATAAGGAAATTTGACTTGCTACATTATATATTTGCAATGTTTTATTTATTTTAAGTATTTGAAAATGTTTTTCACAAGGTGACTGTCTTAGTTATCTGGTGCCACTGTAACAAGTGGATGGCTTTAATGAACAGATTTACTTTTTCACAGTTTAGGAAGTTGGAAGTCTGAATTTGGCATGCCAGCTCTAGGGAAAAGTTCTCTCTGTCAGCTCTGGAGGAAGGTCCTTGTCTCTTTTCAGCTTGTTTCCTGGTTCCATAGAGATCACCATGTGGCTTAGCATTTATCTTCCCCCATCTCTGCTTCCTTGCCTAATGTACTCCATTTATATCTCACAATGTACTCCTTTTATATCTCACAATGTACTCCTTTTATATCTCATAAAAGATTGATTCAAGGCACACTCTCCACTAATCCTGCCTCATTAACAAAGAAAGTCCATTCCCAGATGGGATTATACCATAGATGTAGGGGTTAGGATTTATAACACATAGTTCTTGGGACACTGTTCAATCCATAACAGTGACTAGAGTGTAAAGTGGATCTTCTTCCTTCCCTTTTTCCTACAGTTTCTAGTTTTTTAGGAACCGTCTTGGGACCTTCTATATATTTACATGTATCTGTGTGCATGTGGTGGGAAGGGGGACTTTTAAAGTACTATTAAATTTATGTTTGTAATTTGAAAAGGCAGTAAACATATTGAGGGGGAGGAATACATTAAAATACTAACTTTTTTTTTTTGTAAGAGAACAGGATTAAAGGAGCCCTGGTGGCACAGTGGTTAAGTGCTTAGATGCTGACTGAAAGGTTGGCAGTTTGAATCCATCAGCTGCTCTGTAGGAGAAAGATGCGACAGTCTGCTTTCTTAAAGATTACAGCCTTGGAAACCCTATAAGGTGGTTCTACTCTGTCCTTTAGGGTCACTAAGAGTCAGAATTGACTTGACAACAATGTTTTTTTGTTTGTTTGTTTTAGTTTGGTGGCACAAACAGTTAAGCACTCGGTTGCTAACCAGACAATTGGTGATTCAAACCCACCCAGCTACTTTGTGGGAATAAGAACTGGTGACCTGTTTCTGTAAAGATTACAGCCAAGAAAACCCTGTGGGACACTTCTGCTGTGTCCCATGGGGTCCCCATGAGTTAAATCAACTAATGGCACTCAACGACAAAACAGGATCATGGAGAATTTTCATTTCCTGCTTTATTCCTATTTAGATTTTTAAACTTCTGCGATGAACACATATAGGTTTTATTTGATTGGAAAACATCAATAAGTACTAAATTTATATGAGACCTTGACAGAATGATCTTGCAATTTGGAGAGAGGAAAGTGTAGAGAAAATAATAAGCAATAAGCAAAACCATTTGGAATTTGTGAGAGTGGACTGATTTTTTTGGTGCTAGTAGATTCATTCATTGGACATTAATTGTGTAATGGCTATGTGCCAGCCACAGTGGTGGGAGCAGGTGACTCTGCTGAATAAAACAGCTGGCCTTTGCCCTCAGAAAGGAGGGAGAGGTGGGCTAATACTTAGACATTTTAGACGGAGCCTACTTATCTTGTTA